CAGGACTGCACTTTCTGGTGGCCAGGCTGGGAGGCCCTGCGTACTGAATATCGGTGCCAGTGACCCCGGGCCCCTTTGTGGTTAGGTGAGGGGTCCCTGTGACCCAGGGGGTGATGTTTCCAGGCTACATGGGGACCTCTGTCTCCTGTGTCCCTGCTGCTGTCCCCGTCTGTGTGATTTGAGCTCTGACAAGCCCGTCCGTGCCTGTCTCTTCTCCCAGATAAGAAGATAGAAAGACTGGACACGGATGACCTGGACGAGATAGAGAAAATAGCCAACTGAGAAGCTGCCCGGTTCCTGGAGCTGCCCTCGGCACCTCTCTGGGAGGGAACCCCGTGCTCGTATGGCCCTGGCCTCGACAGTTACCACAGAGATGACAGCACGAGGAAGAAGCTACCTACCTCATTAAATTATGTTTGGACTTGACCAAAATATGTGGAAGCAATAGGGGACAATCAAAGGAAATCACATTTTGGAAAATACCCTCCTCTGCATCTCGGAAAGCTGCAGTGTGCCCTGCCCCTCCAGTAGTCTGCTTTCTGTTGGTGTGAGTGGCTCTAGTCTGCCTGTCCGCTCTCTGACTAGGGTGCTAGGACCAACCTGCACCCCAAAAATAACAAGGATGAGGTCTGCAGGAGGCCTGGCAGGACAGCACAGCCAGCACCTCAACATCATGAAGAGTTGGCAGCAGACCTTGGCCCAGCTGCATTGCTGGGCCTGTCAGGAAGGATTTCCCTGCCCCAGGGTTCTTCTCCCCAAGTCTAGAGACACCCCAGCACCCCCTCCCTGACTGGAGCAAAAGCTCTCCCTCTTACTCTCACGAGACTTTTGGGTACTGTGGTGAACTTCAAATTGGAATAGCCCAGAGACGGGTGCATCCCAGCCTGGAGAGCTTGCGCCAGCTGGGGTGGCCGAGTACTCGCAGCTCGGGGCCTGCCTGCCCCTCCTTCCCGTGGCTCCATGGCGTCACACTCAGGAGACACCAGGGACTGTGCAACCCTGCCCAGCCCACTTGCAAGCAGAACCAGGCAGCCATCTGGAGAGGAACAAGGTGACAGCCAGTGCAGAATCTGATGAGGCTGTGACCCTAAGTGGTGGCCTTGATGGATTATGTACTTCATACCTGGTATGAGTAGAGACAGAAACTTAGCTATGCGCATCATTCATTATAAGAAATTTTAAATGTAATTACGAGAACACTTTACTAATCATGATTTATTTGTATTTTTCTGCTTATTAGACTAATTTATGCTCATTAAAAATATGGTGTGTATATGTAACCTGAAAGTGTTCTCTGACCCCTCTCAAGGTCCTCTTTGTTCCCAGCTTGCTGGTTATAACTCCCATTGCCCTCTGTAAAAAAAAGTGTGATTTCTTGGCCGGGGAGCTGTGCCTGTCCACAATCCCAGCTGCTTGAGTGGAGAGGCAGAAGATTGCACATTCAAGGCGGCCTGGCAGCGCAGACCCGTCCCAGTGACTGGGAAGCGCTGCGGATGGAGCTCAGTGGCGGAGCCCCTGCCTAGCAGGTGCCGGGCTTGGCCTTCGGTCCCCAGCTATCCTGTCAGCCTCACTAGGGCTGGGATTAGCACCAATACTGATACATTGTTACACACTAAAATCCACAATGCATTCAGATGTTTTCTCCTACTTACCTTTTTCTGCTACAGGGTCTTACATTAATTTAGCTATTTTTGTGATACTGGGGATTGAACCAAGGGCTTTTGTACTAACCTGTATCTCTAGCTCTTTAAATTTTTTTATTTTTATTCTGAGGCAAGCTGTTGTGAAGTCACTATGTTGCCTAGGCTGTATTTCCTTTGCTATGACATTGTATCACATTTATCACTGATGACCTAACCATTTTGTAGGGTATTGATAAGAATTTCTAGAATGATCAACTATTGGAATTTGTCAATGTTTTTCTCAAGATTAGACTGGTTATGGGTTACTGGGAGGAAGACCATGGGGCAAAGCAGTGTTTTAGCCAGGTGTGGTCATGCACCCTTGTAATCCCAGCACTCAGGAGGCTGAAGCAGGAAGATTGCTGCTGAGTTTGAGGCCAGCCTGGACTACATGGCAAGATTGTGTTTCCAAAACAAAAGCCCAGAACAAAACAAAAAAAGAAAAGTGGTGGGGGTTTTGGTGGAGGGAGGATGATGAGGATCACTGAATCCTAATTTACATTAAAAAGATGATCACCTGACTTTCTTTTTGAGACAGGGTCTCTCACTATGCATATCAGGCTGGCCTCCAACTGGCTGTGATCCGCCCACCTCGGCCTCCCAAGGGCTGGGGTTACAGATCACAACACCCTGTGAACACATGATAGATACTGGTACTTCTTTTTGTTCTTTGCAGAAAAGGAACCAAACTTAGAAGCTAAGTGTGCTGGTGCATGTTTGCAATCCCAGAATTACGGAGGCTGAGGCAGGAGGTTCTCAAGGGTTTTTTAAATTAAATTTATTGGTACATTATATACCACATTTTATGTGGTAAATAATGATCATATTCAACATAGGAAATTTGTACTTAAACATGTACATGATATATCTCGGGCTTTGGCCATCCTGGTACCCCTTGTCATGAAAATAGATCTTGTCAGTGTTTTATTCTGCGGCCATACTCCTAAGCAAGAGATGGTGGTCCTAGGCCAGGGGTCTGATACCAAACAAGATACCTCTCCAGAGGAGACTCACCCCCAGGGAAACTGAGGTATGGCCAGCAGCACTTGAGGTCTCTAAGTTCCCTCTTCCCTGCCCAAGATCAAAAACCCCATAAATCCATGCTAGGTGGCACCACAGGACAGCCGGGTCCCTGGTGATAGCCAGGGGCCTGTGCCTAGCAGGTGGATTGAGCTTGCTTTCATGACACGGAACTCTGCTGTTTCCAAGCTGAGGGATCTGGGGGTGCAGGGGTCGCTACAGCCACATACCCAAGGCTCCTCAGCACCTGCACCCTGGGGATGACTGGTTCTTGCTCAGCTACCTTAAGGCCAAGCTTGACAGTGGACAGGCCCCATCCATGTGCATAGTGCCTAGATGCCCGAGGCTCTGGGCTCAACCCCCAGCACCACCAGAAAACAAAACCCTGTATCATACAGAACTTCCACAGGGAGATAGCCCAGTGGCATAAGCGCCTGCCTAACAAGCATAAGGTCCTGAGTTCGATATTCGGTACCCACCCATCCCCCCAAAAAAAATCCCAAGCAGGGTTGGGAATATAGCTCAGTGGTACAGACTTGCCTGGCAAGCATGAGGTCCTGAGTTCAATTTCCATTGCCCTCCCCCCCAAAAAACCCAGTAACTTAAAAAAAATCAAAACTCCCAAGCCACTTCTTCACATTAATCCACTATTTCAAGAGTGAAAACAGCTGGATGTGGCGGTGCATATCTGGAATCCTGCCACTCAGGAGGCTGAGGCAGGTGGATCACCGCAAGTTCAAGGCCAGCCTGGGCTACATCGTTCAGGGGCAGCCCGAAGAGAAGACAGGACACCACCTCCAGATTTATTTCATTTATTTATTTTTACCTCCTCCGGATTAAAAACCCCCATCATAATAGAGGGCTTTACCAAGCAGGGCATATGAAGGCCAAACCAGGAAGGAGGCAGACGCAGGAGGATCACAAGTTTGCGGTTAGCCTGGCTGGGCAACTGAGCAAAACCTCATTTCAAAATAAACAGACTTAAACTAAAAAGTAAAAAATAAAAATAAAAGGACTTGGAGTTGTAGCTCATTGCTAGAGTGCTCTGGGCTTGATTCTCCCCTCTGGCAGGGGGAGGCAACTCGGGAGATGAAGTCATTAAAAAGAAGGTGTCTAGTAAGATGATGAAGCACAGCATCACACTTTCCAACGCCTAACTCACAGGGTCAAACAGAACAGGAATAAACTACATGTCTAGACACCAAAAACAGGTTGGAAATCCTCCCATCTTGCTAAGGGGCAAGCATGGTGATACACACCTGTAATCCAGCGCTCAGGAAGCTGACACAGGATGATTTCTCTGAGTTTGAGGCCAGCCTGGGCTGCACATTAAATTCGATGTCGGAAACACAACACAACAATAAGGAGAAACAGCATAACAAACTCAGTGTAAACACCAACTACAAACTAGGCGCAGTGGTACAGGCGTGTGACCCCAGCACTCTGGTGGCTGAGGTAGAAGGACCAATAGGAGTTCAAAGGCAGCCTGGAATATATATGCATATATGCAACTACTTTTAGGGCTTTTTTAAACATTCAGTTTTATGATTTATTTGGCATTTACTTTAGTCAGTGGTTTCTAAATTCACTTTTTTTTCTGAGCCAGCATCTCACCAACCCACAGGCTGGGCTGGAACCTGCAAAACTCCTGTCCCAGCCTCCCAGAATGCTGGGGTTACAGGTGTGTGCAACCATACCCTGCCAGTGAGTTGACTTTTATCCAAAATTCTCACAGTCCCTCCAATTTAGGGTGCTGGGGACTTCACAGAGTGCAGTGCACGCGGTAACTCACATGTAGGGGGAAAGCGTCTGTGGAGTTGCTCTGCCCCCACACCCACCGCCGAGCCCCCCAACATTCCAGCCCGTTCCCATCCCTGCACCTTGGATGCCCTGATACACCTTCAGTGATCTGACACATTTCACAACAAATGACTCTAGGTTTTTTGTGTTTTTTTAATTCAGAAAGAGGGAAGGAAATTAAAAAATGTTTAAATAACTATTGCAGAAAAGGCGATCTGGGTTGAGTTCTGGGATCTACCCCTTCTAGAATGGGGATTAATGGTTTAAACAAAAAAAGAAACAAAGAAGAAATAAATTATCCTGCTCAATACTGTTTGGCATAATTGCATTGTTTATCATCTCAACACTCAAAACGGCCCCTTGCGGAAGCACTGGGATGAGACTGGCAAGAGGGGCAGGCGCCTCGCGCTGGCCGCTGACAGGGGACCTGAGAAAGCATCTGCGAAAACCGGGAGGGCAAAGATCCAAACGAGTTCTCCTCACAGAGCGCCAAGGGGCGCCCTCGCCTGCTCACCTCTCCCCAAACACTGTCCCCTGGGGGTGACTGTCACCAGCCGCCGGGGAGGCGCCAGCCCTGACGCCCACGCCGTCGGGAAGGGGTCTTCTCCTTGACTCGGGAGCTTCACAGAAGCCCTCCCCAGCCCACTTCCCGGGTGGCAGGGGAGAACGCGGCACACACGAGGGATGCGAGCGCGCCGCTCGCGCCGGCAGCTTCCAGCCTGAAGCCCGACGCGCAGCAGCCCAGGCTGGCGACTCGCCTCGGGGGTGCGCGGGAACCGGAGTAGGAGCCCAAACCCTCGACGCGAGGCTCCCTGCTCCTCCTCGGGGTGACGGGAAGAAGGACGGGGCACGCAGGGCCAGCTGGGCTCCGCGCCAGCCTCCCGGGCCGGCCAGACACGTGCGCGCACACGTGCGTGCGCGACAGAGACAGACAGACAGACACAGAGGACCCCAATCCTAGGCGGCTTTCTGATTTTTTTCCAGAGCAACAAGTGGGGTGGTGAGGAGGCCTAAGGAGGGAGATGCTGAGTGAACTGCTGGGCAGCGCCCGCGGGAGAAGCACCTTACTCGGGACTGACGCGGCCTCCTGGTCCCTCCCCCATTCCTGAGCCCCGCGTCCGAGCCGGGCACCGCCCACCCCACGCCTCGCAGGCCCGAAGGCCGGAGCGAGGCGGGCAGGGCCGCGTTTCTTTGGTGGCTCCGCACTCACCCGGCGGGCCTGGCTACGGAGGAGGCGCACGCCCTCTGCGGCCCTCTGGGCCGGGGACACCGGCCACCCCCCACCCGCTCAGCCTCGCCCGACACCGCCCCAACCCCTCCTGCTCGGACCCCACGGTGGAACCCGCTGGCCAGCGGCCGAGAGGCTCCTCTCGTCGAGCCTTAGAAAAGTACTCCATCGAGGCCCGAGCAGCCTCCACATCTTAAAAAGCGGAAAACAAAATCCTATCAAAAGCAGAAGGGACGGGGATTGACCGACCGCCCGCCGGCCCGCCTCCGAAGGCCATTGATTGGAGACGGGTCCCAGCGCGTTCTCCATGAGTCGCATGATTGGCTAGAAGAAACAGAAGCTCCGCCCAACGGCAGCGTTGATTGGAGCCAGGCTCAGGCCGGGCCCCTAAAGTCTCATGATTGGCGGAGAACAGCAAGCGCTCCCTGGACTGCAGCATGATTGGTCCGGGCCGCGCGGTTCCCGTTTGCCCGGCGACGCCCAGGCGTGGGGCGGGCCTCAGGGCGGCTGGGCGCGAAGAGTCGGTGAGAGCCCAGTTCAGTTACCTCGGTAGACCTCGATCTTGCTGGCCTTGGCCAGCATGTCAATGATGTGGGCCTCGAAGTCCGCGTCGTGCACGCCCGTCTTCCGGAACTCGCCTGCGTACCGGTTATTCTCCCAGTAGTGGTGCCAGTTGCCGCGGCTGTCGGCCCCGAAGCCGTACACGTTTACCTGCGGGGAAGGGCGGCAGGGTCACCACGACCGACAGGACGGCCCGGGACGCCGGAGGCAGTGCGGAGGGAGGCGCAGAGGGCACCCAGGCCCGGCCCGCGCTCCCTGTCGGCTCTCCTTCCTCCCCAACCTTTGCCAACTTCCTCCTTTCTTTAGTTTTGATACAGGGACTTACGACCTATGTAGCCCAGCCTGGGTGCCGGCTTCGTGATCCTCCTGCCTCAGCCTGTCCAGTAGCTGGGATTACAGGATGTTGCCATTATGCCCAGCTCTAGAACGTCCCTTTTCTTTTTTCAGACCTTGAACCCCCTCTCCCCCAGCTTCCCTTTCTGAAATGGAGCACTTTTAGTATTCGAAATCTAGTCAAGTACAGAAATGGGCTTACCAGGGCATGGGCACTACCCCCATGCCACAAGAGTCCTGGCCAGTAATGAAATGTGGATTTTGTAATGGCTAATCTGCCTTTTTACAATAGAATCAGCCAGGGACAGCCAGGCATGGTAGCAAAGAACGCCTGTAATCCCAGCACTCAAGAAACTGAAGCAGGGCCAAGGGAGATGGCTCAGTGGAATAAACGATTCCCTGGCAAGCGCAAGGGCCTGAGTTCAATCCCTGGTTCCGCAAAAAAAAAAGGAAAAAGAAACTGAAGCAGGAGGCACAAAGCAAGTTGGAGGCTAGGGTAGGCCCTATAGTGAGTTCAAGGCTAGCCTAAACTACACAGTAAGACCCTGTCTTAAAAACTACAAGAAAAGAAAACAAAAAAAGAATAAGCCTAGAATGAAGGATTATAACAAGACAACCAGCTCAAATTACTACTTGGTTGCTAGGTTATTCATTTTTTTTTTTTTCTTTAGGAAGAATAGCAACCATTGTAGTAGTATCCTATTTCATTTTCCAATAAGTTTAATTTTTTTTTATTCTTTTTTTAATTTTTTTATTTAAGTTTAATTTTTTTAAAGAGATGACGTTTCATTATATTACCCAGGTCAGCCCTGAACTCCTGGGTTCCTGGGATCCTGCTGCTTCAGCTTCCCCAGTGGCTGAGCCTACAGGTGCCATACATAGCTATAAATTTACTTTTTTAATTTATTTATTTTGGGTTTTGGAGTCAAGGTTTGCTATGCAGTTCAGGCTGGCCTTGGCCTCACTATGTACTCCAGGTTGGCCTTCAACTCTGATCTTCTTGCCTCAGCTGCCCTAGTGCTGGGATTTTATTTTTTAGAGAAGGGTCTACAGGGTGTTCAGAGTTTCACTACTAGATCTGACTCGCAGTGATCCACCTGCTTTACAGCCTCCCAAGAGCTGGGATTACAGGTGTGTGCGCCACCATGTCCAGTCTCAGTCGCCCTCTCAGTGTGCCCTGGGGCCTGGGATCGAACCCCTGGCCTCTGCTGGCTGAGCTATTTGGCCAGCCCTCTTAGTGCTGCGATTATCGGGATTATACATGTGCTATGCCCACCAAAATTTATCTTTTTTCTTTTTTTTTTCCTTTTTGTGTTTTTGAGACAATGTCTTGTGATGCACTTCAGGCTGGCCTTGAGCTCACTTTGTAGCCCAAGCTGGTCTCAAACTTGCAACAATCCTCTCAATGATCCTCCTGCCTCAACCTCCCAAGTGCTGGGATTATAGCCATGAGCTACCATGCCCAACTTTTAAAATTCATCTTTTGGATGAAATGATTTCAGAGTTAGTAACGTGAAAATAATAAAGTTTGAGAAGCACAAATCTATATACTTTACAGCTTAGAAATGGGGCGGGGGGTCGTGACACCCAAGCCCTGTTTTTCTCTACAATGCTAAGACCCAAGAAGGGCAGCTTCACTTCCCTCTGTTGGCCAGGTCCTGCCATTTCCACAGCCTGCTGGGGCCCACTCACCTCATCACACACATGCAGGGCGAAGAAGAGCACCAGCATCCCTGTGGAAGGGTACCGCCCGTGATGCTCCGTCCACCTGTCGTGGATGTACTTGAAGAAGGCCGGGTTGTAGATCTGGACCTGGGGGAAAGGGTAGCAGGCCTGTGAGGGGCAAGACAGGGCTGGGAGGCTGGGGCTCAGCAGCTTCTACCAGTGCCTCTGCCCCTGATCAGGGCCCAGATGTGAGGCTCCATGGTCCTGTGGCCTCTGCTGGGGCAGGCATGGCAGCTGAGGGGAACTAGAAGGTTGTGGAAGGTCAGTGGGGCACTGCGGAACTACAGGCCTAGGCACAACCTAGGTAAGGGCAGCACTACTTTTTCTTCTCTCTCTCTTTTTTTTTTTTCTTTGCGGAACCTGGGATTGAACTCAGGCCCTTGCGCTTGCCAGGGAAGCACTTATTCTACTGAGCCATCTCCCTGGCCCTGAGCACTACCGTTAAGAGGGCAAAAAGGAAGAGAAAGGTGGGCAGCTGACCTTCTCTTTGTCCACTCGAAGGAAGGACTTCACTGGCGCATAGGTGCTGCAGGCAGAGAGCAAAAGAACATTTTAGAGACACCACTACCCTTCAGCACTGATCACACGATCAGCTTGAAGATCTTTAGAAAATAAAAATATTCTAAAATTAACTATGATGGTTGTTACACCATTCTAGATATATGCTGAAAGTTTTTTTTTTTTTATTACATCTT